CCCCCCCCGTGTCTTCATCTATAGCACTTGGGGTTGTAAGACCGATCTCATGGCATCAAGTCGATTCCAACCCACGGTGACCCTGTAGGGCAGGGCAGAACCGACTGTGAGTCTCTGAAACTCTACCTCTTTATGGGAGTAGAGAGCCCCATCTTTCTCCTGAGGAGTGGCCGGCGATTTCAAACTGCACATAGCCCACTGCAACACCAGGGTTCCTGTCAGGCTACAGTGAGGATAAAAGTATGCATCAAAGACAGCTACACACATGGCCAATAAGCCACATCTGTTGTCATCTAGTCCACCCTGACACACAGACATGGAGCCGTGTCCTTGGGTTTCTGAGGTCATAACTCCTGACAGGAGCAGATAGCCTCGTTTTTCTCTCTCAGAGAGGTTGGTGGGTTTGAACTGCTGACTTGCAATTAGCAGCTCAACTGATAATCCCTTATGCCATCAGTTAGGTCAATAATTCAGTAGCTGGGGAACTTTGCTTGGACAAGTCCCCTTCCTTGGGGGCTTTCTGTGGAGTAAAGCCACTTGGCTCATGTTCTGGGTACTGCATCAGCATGAGTGTGTGTGTGTGTGTGTGTGTGTGTGTGTGTGTGTGTGTCCTTTCGGTCTGCCTGCATGTATGCATGCATGCGTCCATCTTCTTGCTCTATAAAACTGTACTGAGATGTTCCAGGAACTTCTAGAAGGGACCTGTCACACCCTCTCCAGTGACCTCTCTCTCTCAACTCACTGCCATTTAGTCAATGCCAACTCAGAGCGACCCTGTAGGACAGGCTAGAACTGGCCCCTTAGGGTTTCCAAGAGGGTGGCTGAGAGCAGAAGCCCTGTCTTTCTCCCGGGGAGCCCAATGCTGCCTTTGTGGATCCCAGCCCACCGTGGACATCCCCCCTCTCTCCAATCCTCTTTCTTTATCGGGCGGATTTCAAAATGATGCTCTCTGGCTGGTGGTGTGCACGTGAATGTTCTTTTTTCCTTTTTTGCTTCTCTGTATCTCATAAGATGAACCTAAATTACCATCATTATAAAAAATAGTTCACGATTTTTCTAATCCAAAGGAAAAACCTGATAGTGCTCCATTCTATTGATTTCCTTTCCGAAATCCTTTTCCACCACTGTGGCCGTGGCAGCACTGTCGGGTCACTTACCAGTTTGACCGCGGACTGTTTCAGGGGGCCCTTCAGCCCCGTTTGGTCCTTGAGGAAATATCTCGAAAAGATAGCGAGTCCCCGGGCTCAGGTCCCCAATGACAATACTGTGGTTGCTGGTGGTGTCTGTCTTCCTCCAAGCTTCTCCGTCTGCATCCAGACGGGTGACAATCCTGAAGGCCTGTGCGTGGGTGCTACTCCAAGCCAAGCCGATCTCTGTGGGGTTGACACTCGTCACTTGAAAATTGGAGACAGGGCCAGGGGCTGCGGGGTAGAAGGCAGAAGAGTAGGTTAAGAATCTATGTCTTTACTAGATGCTAGGTGTCCGCTACAGGGGACGGTATACTATGGGGACAGATAAAGGTGATGGGTGAACATAATCCGCACCGCTGAGCTGCAAGTGTGAAAACTGTTTGTTACAGATGGATGGGATGGGATGGGTGGTGGGGGTACAGGATGGATAGGATGGTTGGTAGGTAGTAGGTAACCAGAGAAACACATACTTAGCAAAAGAACAATTATGTAAAACTTAAATTTTTTTTTTTTTTTTTTAGGAAGAGTGAAACTTCACACAATAGTCACACAGGGATGAATTTCAAAATGAGGGCATTTGGTCTCGCTCCCCTTTGTCTTTTCCCTCACAACCCGAATTCTGAGCAGCAGGAGGGCAGAGGTGTCTAAGTCCTCCCCAGGGAGTGAGGAGAGTTGTCCACTGCACAGTCAGGCCAGGCTCTGAAACGGAGCCTGGCTGCTGCTGGTGGCTTCACCCCAAAATGTGGCTGACCCTCCTGGGCTGCCGTTCACAGAGGAGTGGAGGGGCTGCTGCGGATCTCGGAAGTCCACCCACCCCTTTGTCCTCAGCCAGCCAGCCCAGATTCTGATAATAAAATCCAAACCCAATGAACGTAACAAAGCCAGAGTACATCATTCCCTTGGGGCATGGCAGGGGCAGGTGGTGCTGCAACCAGAAGTACAAGGAAGAGGAAAGGTCCTAACGTTGATTGTGGAAATGATTACGCAACTCTTTAAAATATGACTGAACTACTGAAATGTGTGATGTGAATTACTTGCCAACAAGATTGCTGAATTATACGTAGAAGAGGGACGGCCCAGGTAGGCTCCTTTAAAAGGATTGGTCTAGGGCCCAAGCCCCAAACCCACTGCCAGCCTTCCCAAGGGCTCCATACACCCCCAACTCCTAGGAGTAAATCCCTTCCCCTTCAAATAGCCCTGCCATGCCCCCTGGCTAACACACCTCCCTCCCCACCCTGCCTAGTCCTGGAAGGCTTCTCCACGAGAGAGAACAAACCCCTATGTTGTGAAAGCCCCTGAGACTTGATGGCTGGGCTGGGCTGGGGAGGGGAGTGTTGGGATGCTCACAGTTGAACCCAAGCCTAACTCACAGCTTAAGCCATCTGAGGAAACGGTGAGCACATGAAAGCAGAGGCCTTTCCCAGTGAGATAATCCGGACGTTTGCAAGAATGTGCAGATGCACGTGCTGGGAAGAGCCAGACAACTGAGTGAAATATTCTTGTAAGACAAGTCCTGGCTCCTGCGTCAGGCGCTGCTGTGCCCTTGGGCAAATGGTCCAGCCATGCTGGGCTGTCACTCTCTCCTCTGTAGAAATGGGATTCTGTTATTTAATATGAAAACCATTGCAACGCACGCCAAACTCCTGGTAAAATGTTAAGTAAATGCCTGGCCAAGCTGCCATACCATCCGCCCATCATCTAACCGTACTCCTGGTATAGCAACGGTGTTAGTTGTAAACTATTAGGCCTTCTTTGGAATAGGTGCCTCTCATCATATTCTTAAGGGACATATATCTGCAAATAAAAGATGAAACAAAGGCATAGCCGTGATGACAGTATAAAGTCAACATCCAGGCGACAAAGGGACATGGCTGTCCAGCTTCTTCTGGTCTCCATGCAGCAATTGGCTCTGGGTCTGCAGCACAGTCGAATGGCCACTGCAGGCACAGACCCAAGGGCTAGCCCCACATCACCTCTCCCCACCTTGGCTTTCTCCCATTTAAAATAAGGCCAATGTCAATCCTGCCCAGGGATGCTGTGAGCACCAAAGGAGGGAGTGCAGGTGAAGCCCGTGCCACCAAGGCCAGTGAGTGGCCAGCATCCGTGCACGGCCACCAGTACAATATCACGCACCCTGGAGGAAGAGTCCCTGTGGACTGACGCACTGAGCCGGCCAAGCCACAGGGGAGGCAGCACAGCTTTTCTGTCTCTGTAGCTGGGCCTGCCTGTGGCAGGTGGACAGGAAAGGTGAGGCAGAAGGAGTGAACTCACCAGTATTGACTTGGCAGAAGCTGGGCATGCCCTCAGAGCCATTCTCCTGCACAGGATACACAGTGATGTTGTAGAGGGTACTGGGCGTGAGTCCGGGAATGACAACATGGCTCTCGTTGACCGTGACATTGAAAGAACTGGTCTCTCCCACCACTGCCACCACTTGTATTTTGTAGGACGACACCGGGTCGCTGGGTCTCCAGTTCAGGTTCACACTTGTGGCATTGATGCCTACAATGCTGATGCCCCCGTCCTGACTTCTAGAATCTGTGAAGACAGAGCAGAGTTCAAAAGTAATGGGACAGCCATGTCAGAGAGCGAGCGGTGGGGTGGGGGTGGGGGGGGGTATCCCTGAGACATCCTGCCGGACAATGGCTCCTCCTCCCTCTGCACTGTTCAACCACTACTGGGAGTGTGTGGGGGTCCCAGGAAAGGTCAGCCAGCCCCCCCGCAGTGAAGACTGCCCAGCCAGCTCCAATGGCACAGTTACGCTTTGTTCATTCGTGACTTGGCTTTTATGCAACTCAGGCTTTGCATAATGACTGTTATTAACTGAGATTTGCTTCATTAGGAGGTTTCAGCCAGACCTGCCCCCTTTGTTCAGCTCTGTGAGAGCAATCTAATTAATTACCTCCCTGGTTCAGAAACTGGAATTTCACCCATCAAAATAAAGAAAGAAAGAAAAAATCCCCAAATGCGGGGACCAACAAAAAGCTACCCATTTTTATTTCCTCCCCCAAAATATATGCTTTAAAAAAATGGAACCAAAGCAAAACAAGCTACCAACTGTTGTCATTAATCCTTGCAGAAATATTTCAGTGTGCACACACAGGATCCCAAAAGGGCCCATGCTTTCAACAAAATGTATTTCACTTCAAGAGAAAAAAAACAGCTTGCTAGGATCCTACCCTTATCTTACTGTCACTGGTCAAGGAGGATGCAGCCTCCGCCTGAAGGCAGAATACCAGGCAGCTACATCTGGTTTCCAAAGGTGGGGTCCACCCTGCAGCCCACCTTGAACATCACAGGACAAGGTAGCAAGGCAACTCGACACTTGAGATCTAACAGCATATACAATAGATATGAATTATACGGCATTCCTTCCAGCTACCGTGTGTTTTTTAAAACACTGCAGATTTAGACTGGGGGAGGGAACAAAACAGAAGTTCTAAGTATACATTTGCCAGGGTCCCATCATTCTGTCATTTGAAGTCCCCACATCTGAAAGAAAGCAACTGGATGGGAAGTGGGTCTTAGCCAATGAGCCTGTGGTTTACGTTCCTGTGACTGCCGGGCTGTGTCCACCAGGGGGCGGTAGAGAACAGCGGGAGAAGGACGGTGGGACGTGGTACTCACGGTCGTCACCTGCGCACAGGATCTGTGAGAACACAAAAAGAAGAAAACGGAAGTCAGCAGGTTCCCTCAGCCGCAGGAGATGCAAATCAGGGGCGGGGCAGCTGAGGCTTTTCAGTGCGGGGTGGGTGTTGAGAAGGCACTCGGCAGAGGTGCCTGGATGGGCCTGGGGTGTGGGCACACCGACTCTGGGATCCAGGAGAGAGTCCATCACCCACACTGGCCCGGCCCTGCGGGATGGAGGCTGACTGCTAGCCACAGCCCAGTGTCATCCTTGCAGGGCGCCCGGGGCAGTTCCCTCCAGTTAGCACCCGGCTGGGGCAAAGGGGCACGGAATCCGAGTGCAGACCCCCGGGGCAGGAGGGAAGAGGCCTGAGACCACCATACCGCCCTTCTGTAAAGTCGGTGTGCCGCAGGACATGGGATTGGGCCTAGGGACTCCATTGTGCACAACCTCCCCTTCTTCCTCCTAGCCTTAGGGGGCAGCAGTGTATCGGTATAGCTGAATCCTGTGGCAAATTGGCTTCAGAAGGATTCCGTTTAGAGCAACAGAAAGGACTTTGAGATTGGTTGGGTGCCACAGGGGTCTTTGGATGCCTGGGGAGGGTCCGGGAAGATATTCGCTGTGACTCACAAAGAATTTCCCCGGATTTAAAAGGCCTAAAAGCAAGTAACTCGAGGTTTTTTGTCTTCCAACCTTCCATCAAACTTTCCACAGCCCATGGGTCCCCTGGGACCTCCTGTCCCCTCACACCCTGCACACTCTTGAAGACAGTTTCCCTAAGAGCTTCCCCACTCCTAATCCCTCTGCCCCAGACCTTCTTGAGGCACGTACTGAAATGCCACAGAAACGCGTGTCCCCACTCTTCATCACATCAACGGGCAGTTACCGACGTGGCCCTCCGACTCTCCAGCCAAAGCCGACACGCTACGGGAATAGGGGCCTTGTCTGTGCTCCTGAGCCCAGAATGTACACCCTGGAAGAATGAACCGCGTGGTTTGTGGAGGAGACTGCCCCCGGAGGCCCAGGAAGGAAAGGTCTTGCCCGGCAGTGAATCTAAGGCAGAGGCCATGCAGCCCACCACCTGTGGTGATCAAGACCATGCCGAAAGGCTGGGCGTTCAAACCCACCCAGACAAGCCTCAGAAGGTCACTCATTGACAGCCAATGCTACGGAGTCAGTGACTCGCCAGCACCTTGCACATCAACGGGAGAAGGCAGGGCAACATTCACCCTCTGGGCATGCGTCTCAAAGGCCCCTGAGTTCCCCCTCCCCTCTTCCCCCTAGGCCCAGTGGTTGTGCCAGCAGACTCCCCTCTTCCATGTCCACCTCACAGTCAAGGCCAGGCCTCAACCCACATTGCCTATCATAGGGAAGGGGGCCAGCAGCTGGGTGAAGAGACAAAAACATGAAAGATGGCCACATGGCCCTGGGATGGCCCATCCTGCCTGCTCCCACTCCCGATGTGTGTGGTCTCCTTAGCTGCAATGCACCCAGGTGTTCATGTTCCCAAACAGCACCTACAGCATTAGCCATCTGGCTGCTAGTCCTCAGCCGTTTGCAGGGAATAAGCTCTATCTATAAGTCTTTTTAACAAGCTATCCCCAAACACCTATATGCATGCCGAGCACCGAGCGTGAACCAGAGCTAGATCAAAAGAAAAACACCCTCAAACGCACTGCCACTGAGTCAATGCCAACCCTGTAAGATAGGCTACAGCAGTGGTTCTCAACCTGTGGGTCGAGACACTTTTGGGGGTCGAACGACCCTTTCACAAGGGTCACCTGATTCAGCACAGTAGCAAAATGACAGCGATGAAGTAGCAACGAAAATAATGTTGTGGTTGGGGGTCACCACCGCATGAGGAACTGGATGAAAGGGTCAAGTCATGAGGACGGTTGAAGACCACTGGGCTACAAGAAGAGAAAGCCCCATCTTTCTCCCCAGGAGCAGCGGGTGGTTTCAAATTGCTGACCTTGCAGTTAGCAGCAGCTTGCCATGAGCAGTGCTGTGTCCCGGGCTCCGCATTAGGCAGCCTCCAGTTCACGTCCTTCTGGAGCTCGCAACTCAGAGGATGCAGGTGAACCATCGCTGAGATCAGGTGGATGGTCTCCCTGAGGAAGGGGCCATTCACCAGGGTGATGCTGCGTCTGAGAAGAGGGGCACTGGGGGTGGGGCGGTGACTGATCCAGCGGGGGTACAAAAGCAGAAACCTAGACTTCGTCCTGGACAGTGGGCAACAGTATGAATGTTTGTAATGGCCATCGGGGCTCTGAGCAACTATTCTTTTTTTCTTTTCTTTTCTTTTTTTTTCCTGAAAAAGGGGCATAGGCCAAATACATCTGGGACCCTAGCACTAGGAGCATCGAGGCAAAGAGGCCTTGCCCACCACACTTTTGTGTCCATCGCAGTCCTGCTCCGGGTGCACGGTGAGCTGGACACGAGACCATGCCGAAGCGCTGTTCTAGAGACCAATGGCTGAGGATCCCAATTGTGGAGGGAAAGCAAGATTCCACACGGCAGAAAGCACAACACTGACCCTGAACTCGCGGTGCACTTGGCCAAACACACACAGAGCACGACTCGGTCAGGCACTGTCCGTCATGCTCACTTAATGCAATGATGGCCCTAAAAGGCTGCTCTGGGGGCAGCCAGCCGAAGAATCCAGCCTGGACCTCAGGCACCTAGAAGTGCCCCAACAGTGTGGTTCTACTCACAAGGACACTGACGGAACTCAGACATCTGTGTTAACAAGGGCTCAGGCATTGTCTCACCCAAGTCTTAGAGCAGTGTTTCTCAATCTTCCTAATGCTGCCACCCTTTCATCCAGTTCCTCATGCAGTGGTGACCTCCCAACCATAACATGATTTCCGTTGCTACTTCATCACTGTCATTTTGCTACTGTTATGAATCAGGTGACCCCTGGAAAGGGTCATTCGACCCCCAAAGGGGTCTCAACCCACGGGTTGAGAACCGCTGTCTCAGAGCAAGCTCAAGAAGCATCAAAAGACACATGGAAATAACTAACCCAACGGGCTGATGTACCTTACAAGCATTAGTCTCCACAACCCTAAGCCCCAAGGAACTAGATGGTGCCCAGCTACCACTCCCAACTGCTCTGTAAAGGATCCCATGAGAAGGTCCTGGGCAGAGTGGGAGAAAAATGTGGACCAGAACCCAAAATCCTAAGCCAGGCTTATTGGTTGGATAGAGACTGGTGGGACCCTCAAGACTATGGCCCTTACCCTTCAGATCTGTAGTTGAACTCACACCCGTCTTAACGTAATCAGCCGTGTAAGATCAAAAGGGCAGCATGTACGCAAGGACAGAGGTCAGAGGTTAGGAGAGGAGGAGGAACGGAAACAGGAAACAGAAGCCATGGGCTGCATGCTGGCTCACTGAGGGGCCTACAGTGGATGGGTTAAATCAGAATGGGCATGCATTTCTGAATGCAAAACTATGCCCTCCTCCGTAAACATTTGCCTAATTCACAATAGAGTTTTGTTTTGTTTTTTCAGTTAGGCTCAAATTTTGACCAAGTTAAAAAGAAAAAGAGTCCCACAAAGCAGAAATTGCGTTTCTCCCGATTTGACAGATGAGGAAAGAGTCTCCCGTTAAGTTCCCTTCCTGACCCAGCATCTTACCAGCTAATAAGCCTAAGACTCTGGTCTCGGTCTGCCTGACCTGGAAGCACCTGGTCCTTAACCAGGCCCAGAGCAGCAAGCTGGTTCTTCCCTGGTCTCAGCCCAAGCGAGACTGGGAGACTCAGTTCTAGAGTAGCAACCACACCCCCAGGCCTGTTGGGGCTTTGAGGGTGGTGTCCATGAGTCTGTTAAAAGGGACTGAATTGGCTCATTCTCAGAGCAGAAGAGGGTTGGGGGGCGGGGGGGGGGGTTCAGAGCAGCCTGAGTATTAGCAGGTGACAAGGCAGAGGTTTTGTCTTCCACAGGACATGTTGGGTTTTCAGAGATGGGCAATGAGAGACGGAGGAATGCAACGGGTAACAATAGGCTCTTTCTCCTTCTAAAGGCAAGCCCACACATCATATGACAATAGTTATTTTTACCCACTGACGCCATTAACCAAAATGTGAACCGCTGTAAGCAAGTTTTAAAAGCAAATGGGGTTCGTTGGGATCGGGAGCGTGAACAGATTCCAAGCCCTTTCAAAGGCCACCGCGTTTCCTCGGCACCAACCCCCCGCCCCCCATCACTCACGCGGATCCAACAGCTCCCTGCAAAACCAGGCCCCAGAACATAAATCACTGATTACCAAAAAAAGGGGGGGAAGAAGGGTGGGCCCCTTCCCCACCAAACCCAGAAGCCAGGCAGCCAATACCATATGATAGGAAACTTCCCAGCCAGCCAGGGTGGAAGTGGCCTCACCCCACCCACGGCCACCCAGGCCATTCTGAGTCATGGGGGCCTCAGAGGGTTCCCAAGGATATAAATCTTTAAGGGAGCAGACAGCCTCTTCTTTCTCCAAATAAGCAGCTGATGTCTGAGCCACAGGTCTTGTGGTTGGCAGCTCAATGCTCCCCCGGCAGCCCTACTGCACCTGGCATAGCTGACTCCACCCTAGAACCCAAAAAGCAGGGCAGGGGCAGGACAGCAAGGAGTCCCCGCAGCAAAGGTCATGCAGGAAGCTGGCTCACCGGGCCACCTTTGCAGTGAGGGACTCTGAATTCAACTCTGACATTCGGAAAGGCCTCTGCAGGAGGGTTGGTGAGGCCCGGACGGAAGGGGTCAAAGGGGTGCCCACCCACCTCCAGGAGTGGCTGCAGGCACGGTGCACTAGTCCACCTGCAGAGAAAGAGGAGGAACCAGCAGGGCCGCAGTGGTGACGAGACCCAAACGGAGCCGCAGAGCTGAGGGTGACGTTGGAAATCCCAGGCCAAAAGTTTCCATGGGTATTTTTAGCAGAACTTTTTCACAGGGAATTTTATGAAGAACTACGCATAGAGTTTCCTGCCTCACACACGTCTTTAGATGTATGGTTATGTGTCTAGTTACACCCATGCG